GTGGATGACAGCGCCGCCGACTAGCTACCCTCAAGTCCCGCGTATAACGATCCCTACCTTGCGTATAACGAACCTCGCGTATAGCCAACCTCGTCTATAGCGAACCTCGCGTATAGCGAACCCTGCGCATAGCGAACCCTGCGCATAGCGAACCCTGCGTAGAGCGAACCTCGCGTATAGCGAACCTTGCGTATAGCGAACCTTGCGTATGGCGAACCTTGCGTATAGCGAACCTCGCGTGGAGGCTTCACGGTGGAGCCTCGCGTATGAAGAACCTCACGTATAAACGACCCCGCGAATGAGAAATTTCGTATTCACGGAAGCATCTTCATACCTTGTTCGAAGTCCGAAGGCAATGATTCCCATCCGAGAAATAATGATTATATGATCTTAAGCATCAAGGAGTCACTGAAAGATTTGCCGAAAAGTCGGAGAGTTTAATGCATGAGATACATTTCAAAAAGGTTCTACCAGGAAAGGATCTACAAGGAAAGCCTGGAATGGGTCGCTATCGTAGTCGTCAAAATCACTGTGATCTGATGCTTGATTTGCCTGCTCGTTCGTCGATGGAGACAATCGAGCACTCGGTGTGAGTCCGCTCATGAAACCGTTCACCACCGCTTCCACCGATACCGCTTCAAATGCCTTCTCGACGACTTCGGCGATTTTCGCGTAGCTCATTCTCCTTCGACGTCCTGTATTAGTATAGGATGCATTTTCTTCGGACGACATCCATTCTTCCCACAACTTCCTCAGGTTGTCTTTGAAAACCTTGTTCACACTTAAATCCAGGGGCTGGCAAAATTTTGTCAAACCCCCTGGAATAACGGCAATCTTGGAATGCTTCTCCAATTCGTTCCGCACTCGCTCTGTCAAGTGACAGCGGGCCGAGTCCATTATTAGCAATGATTTGCTCGGGTCGGGGTTGGCGAAACGGCGTCCTCTCCAAACTTCGTTCAGCCATTCAATCATGACGGATTCAGTTCATCCAGCCTTTCTGGTTCGCTTTGATTACGACTCCCGGTGGGAAATCTTCTTCTGGAATCAGCTTCTTTTTAAAAATGAGCATTGGAGGCAGTTTTTCTCCGGCGGCTGTGACACACAGCACCACAGTGAGGTTGTTCTTTTCATTACCAGTAGTATCAATTTTCACACTGTCTGAGCCTTTCGGTGCGACGGTTCTTCCATAGACTATATCGAACGGCACCGGAACCTCGTCAAAATTACCGATGTTCGACAAGTCGATGTTGTCGCTCGCTTCGGAGTAGAATTTCCGAAACGACTCAATCTTCTCGACGTGATCCTCGGGGACCGGCTGCCCCACACTTGTTGGCCTTCTGACGCTAAAGTCATTGCGTTTCAAGAACTTACGGGCCCATTCATTGGAAGCTTTGAAGCTCAAGTCGCCGAGTTCTCGCATGACCTCTAGAGCCTTCCCCTGAATGTCTCTCACCATCACGGCTCGGTTTTTCGCTCTCTTCGCGAGCACCCACTCCCTGACTTTGGCTTCCATGTCACGACTGTATACCTGACCCCGCCGGAAAGCGCGTCGATTCCTACCGGTGGTCCTTAGCTTGTCCTCTTTCGCTTTCCAATCATGCAGCATGCTCTTCGAAATGCTAAATCTTCGTAAAGTTTCTGCCTGTCCGTGGATTTTATCAAAATCGATGGCTTCTAGTTTACGCTGGGACGTATAGGAGACTCTTGTTGGCTTCATTTTCGAGCTGAAGTCGATCTTGCAAAGATACGCACAGCAGACACTGCGAAGACTAGCCACCAATTTGAGCACAAAGAGTGTGCTTCGTCATCGCACTGGAAGAATCATCTTTGACAGCTCCCGTTGAAGAGCGCGAGAAGCGGCTTTAAGATTCCTTTCGATTTCGAGTGCCTGCCTATTGTACCTACCTACCAACCTACCTATGCTAGCTACCTACCTACCTACCTAGCTAAAAGCACCGATGATTCAAAGCTTCATGTCGGTCCGAGGTATGAATCAACTCATTTCGCGGCGAAGCTCTCGCTCAGTAAACAGTGAAATCGAGCATGGACATCGACATTCCTCGAACATTCTTCCAGAGTGCGTGCACCTCGATCAAGCAGAGTTCACGATTCAGCAGCGATCGAGGTCAAGAAATAAAATGAAGATCGCCGAATGGGATGATCTGCGAGAATTGACATCAACGTTTCGAGAAATCAATTTCAATAAATCCGCTTGGAACTCCGCGATTTGATTTCGATAGTGAACGGGAGTCCCGAAAGCATTGTTGTCCCCAAAATGATATACGAAGTTCATTTCACGCGCGAAATTTCTCATACGCCGAGGCTCGTTACACGCGGGGCTCGCTATACGCGGGGTTCGTTAAACGCGAGGTTCGTTATACGCGAGGTTCGTTATACGCGAGGTTCGTTATACGCGAGGTTCGTTATACGCGAGGCTCGTTATACGCGAGGCTCGTTATACGCGGGGTTCGCTATGCATGAGGTTCGTTTTACGGAAAGTTCGTTAAACGCGAGGTTCGTTATCAGCGGGACTTTAGGGTACTTTTCAACAAGATGGAAACAAACAAACAAAGGGAGATATTTATAAATAACTCTGAGGATATGTGTATCGATCGGGGGCCGGAGCGGTGGACAAAGAAGGCTCCGGAGCGATGACAGCTGAGCCTCCTTAGCGAATGTCAACCGCTTGAAAGAGATCGCTCTTGTTGCTCCATTGATGTCTGCTTGAGTGAAGGTTGTTTGGTTGTTCGACGGAAGATTCGGAAGAACTCTCTGGAAACGGAGCCCTTCGAGGCCCCAGCTCCCGGTTCTCAGAGGAAACGTCGAGCCCAAGTAATTTGGGTTTTACCCGCACGCGCCGCTGACAACTGCGGAACGAGAACCTGGTTCTCCTTACATTCCAGCGACGAGCGGAGCTTCTGGTATGAAGAAATCCATGAATACGCTTCAGAGCGGCAAAGTTTGCTGTTAGATGACTCATTCCGGGAAGGAAATCTATCCCCGAAGTCATCTTCCTGAAAAGTTTCTCAACCCGACCGCGCACCGGTTCACTCAGCCCGTCCGATACGCCGCCGGTCTCGGAGATTGAGAAGGTGGAAAGGAGTCGTGTCTAGTTGCCTCGGATCCGTCTTCCGGAGTCGTAGATTCTCATATTTACTCGCTCGTCGAGCCGGTGCTGTAGAGCAACTCAACAGAGACACTCTCTATCTGTGGCATCGTCGGACGGACGCTCATCCGTTCATCCATGCGTTTGCTCTATCTTTCCGACCTCCGCCCTGGTCGCCAGAATAAAGTGGGAAAACCAAGAGTACAATGAGCTTTCTTTATGGAACTATCGGCGGTTGTCGCCGTAACGAGCAATTTCGAGCAAAGTAAATGTTCCGTGACTTCAGGCGAATTCGAGCTAATTTTAGGTAAAAAGGGCCGCGATGGCAACACGGAGAGTAACCTGAGGAGCTTGCCCGAGATACTCGCCCTGTAAACCATCCGGGCGAGCTATCAAGTGTCTACCTGCTTTTGGAAGAACACGCTGAATATCCCTCCGCAAAGGTAGTCTGGCGGCCGAAACATGGGGTCCCATCCCCAAGGGGCGGGCCCCCGGGGCTAAGATTCGGGGCGCTTGTGCGGGCGAGCGGGCTGGCAGGCCTCGAGCGTTCTTGGAGTTCAAAAGTGATTAATAGCTCGCGTGCGGCGGGACGGACAGACGACTGGTGGGCACGCAGTCGGTGTATCCGCGGCGGCACCGTATACCACCAAAGCCATTACCACCATCGCCGCGCCGCTGCCGTCTACTGCTTTCCATCGCCTACAGTTTTCTGCCGCACACCGCCGTATACGCGCACTCTTACTGCACGATGGACTAAGTTGATTTGAATCCACATTCCCCTGCTCGCGAGCCTCGCACCCCTCGCTCACACGTTCGGCGCAGCTCGCGCGCACACCGCGCCCAAACTCAGATATACTACAACACTCCTGACTGACTGGTGAAAGAGCGCGAGCAGGGAGGCGGGCAAGCGACCGAGCGGGCGGGCGGGCGCGGAAGCGAGCGAGCCAGCTAAACCTGATAGGAGAACGAGTTCAGAAGAAGAACGGACGAGGTAATTTGGACGGAGCCCGGCTGGTGCAGTTTTTCGGAAACTGGCTTGGCTGCTCGGTTCGAGATGGAAATAAATGGCATTGAGCGGGGCGAGGGGGGGGACTGCGAGTAGGAGGAAAAACTAATGTTTCCCTGTGTAAGAAGTGCTGAAGTCGAGACGGGGGAATTCGCTAAACGAAAGAACGAACGGAATCAGCCAGCCAACCAGCGGCGACAACGTCGGAGACGATTTTCGCTCAGCGATCTCGAGCATCCGACAGGCAGGCGGCAAGCGAGTCGGTCGACCAGACGGTCGGCCGGTGGAATCCGGGACTAGCGTCGTCCTCGGCGAGGAGGATCTCGAGCGTCACGATTTGTATTGATTACGCTCCACCGTCTCAATCAATTTATTTCCACTAAACATTGATGGTCCGCTTTTGCTCGTTTGCTTGTCTTTCGGTCCGTGGGTCCGCGCTTGATCTTAGAACTCGGGACAAAGACGTCGGAAAAGGAATTTAGAAAAACCTCCGCAAGTCTCGATGGTCGCCGCAGTGGATTGAGAGGGCGGCGTTTTCTTTTCGTTCTATCGTCAACACCTGATCTGGGGATGATGTATGGCTTTCAATGAGCCGTAACACCATGCTCTGGCTCCTTAATCCCGGCACCGAGGAACCTCTGCAGACTTGATCTCACAGCGGCACTCCACCGGAGTCGGGAAGCGGAGAATCGCGGTTCGGGAAAAAAAATATTGGTAAATAACCAGACTATTAACTTCCCATAATTTCAGAGCTGTCATCCTCTCATTCGAATTTTTCAGGAGGGGAATTACCCGGGCAGAAAATTCCCTAATTAATAGTATGTTATCGCTCTCGTGCGCCAAGCGTATGGTACGGGGGAATAATTTCGTTTCGCTTATGATTTTCAGGCGGGACAACACCTACTCGTTTGTTGTGATCACGCAGAAACATCCGAACGTGATGCAGTACAAGGAGACGCCGTCACCTCTGCAAGGCAACTGGACACTCGATCGAGCGTCTCACGAACTGGCAGGTGACACCCCGCTGTACTCGGTGTTTCGAGTCAATGGAGAACCTGTTCCGTGTCCGTTCCGAGACACGTACCATTTCTCATACAACCGCGGCAGTGGGAACTGTTCAAGCCCGCCATCAATAAGCGATTTTTGCACCGACAAAAATCGCGTGCTGTTCAACTTCAAAGCGTGTTACGACACCCACAGCGAAAGCCGCAAGGAAACGCTCACCTGCGTCGGGACCTGGAAAGAAGGCAGCCATCACTACCTCGTCGGAAAGGTGCGTTTTCCCCGGGCCTTACGCCCTTGATTGAACAGCTCCCCTCTCCCCGTGAAGCATCTGAGTTTCTCGGCTGCGTCTCGCCCATTCTGGGATTAGAGCCAAAACACCTTTTCAAGTGGATGCGATCGACGGGAACAGGCTCGTGAGAAGCCACGCCCGACTGTTCCGCTCTGGAATAGGCCCAACGGAGCGACTTGAAATCGTTTTCGTCGTTTGTCGCGATCGGCCCGTCGGAGGCATCTCGAGAGTGGGAGGTCTCCTGGGAATCTCATGTCGTTGACAGAGTTCAGCGTTTATGGAAATTCTGTTTGAATTCGAGAGGTGGAACAGCTCTGGGATTCTCCTCCCGTCTCTGAAGGCAGTCCTGTTCATTCGACCCGAGCGCCGGTCTTGCCGATTTTTCCTGCGAGTGCTGGCGAGCTCCTTCTTGAACGATGCTGATCCCATGGGCGTGGGGTTCTGAACTTACGCCAGGGATCCAGTTTTCGGGGTAACGAAGCACCTACGTCTGAGACCGTTCCTGTCGGGATCGTCCATGCGGATTCCTCGCTCTCGTTTTGGCATCAATGGCTCGAATGGGGGCTCGAGTATAAATTCGGCCCGTGTGTCTGGGAAAGAAGAATATAATTTCGACTGGCTTCGAATCAGTCGCAAGAGGCTTCATGGAGACCGATGTTTCCGGAGACGGTGACCGGGGAGATCCGCCGAAAGTTACAATTAGAGTCGACGGCTGATCAGATGCCCTCCCGCAAACACGAAGAGATCGCGTTAATCTCGATCAAAATGAAGCATGACCATAAGGATCCTCATTTCACCCGTTCGCGGATGGACGTCGACCCTGCCCCATAAACTTTGCATCGAAAAGCCCATATGTGGAAGAACCCTCCTCGAAATTCAGTGAATGTCTTCTATCGACGCCTTGCGGATCCATCCGTGAAAATTCGTGAGCGTCTCGCTTCCCCCCGTATCATCCCAGCGAATCATTTCGCCGATCTCCCCATTCGCGTTCCATAAATTTCTCTGCACCAGGGTGTCTCTCCGCCGCGGGACGGCTGCCACGGTCGACGGCATCGCCGTTGACCGTCAATGACAAAAACAGGGATGTGAGCTCTAAGCGTGCGTAGGAGGGGCGAGAGAGAAACACCGAGAACGAGCATCATCAGGTTGGGCGTTCCTGAACGTAGCGCGTGCCCCAAAGCCCTGAGCGTATTAGCTTCCTCCGCACACGCGTGGTTCCGTCCGTCCAGCCGTTCTCTGATCTGATCAACGTTTACCCTGAAGCGGGCCCGGCTTTCCTGAGTTGCCCGCTCGTCCGCCGCCCATCTGCCTGCTCTTCTGACGGCTCGTTCGTACGGCGGACTCGCTCGTTCGGTGGCGGGCTTCCGATGGATGTTACGCTCATGACTTACGACGGCAAGAGGACGAGCGCGGACGAGAAGTGACTCGCTTCACTCTTTGCATGTGGGGAGGCGAGCCTTCTGTCTGCCGTCAAGCAACTTGGAGAGAAAATGTCCAGTCTTTATCCTGCGAACGGAGCGACGAATCCGTCAAATAGTGACGGGACGCCGGCTCGCCCCAAAGGCAAATCCCTCTCTCGTTTCCGGACGTGGTCCATTCGAAAGAGGCCCGATTCTCCCACTTCCCTCGAACCCCCCCCCACCCTTTCCCCTGCTAACCCCGTAGGGAGGGGGGCTGGTCGAGGAGAGGAGCGATGAACAGGAGGATATGGTATAATATGATCTGGGTGCGTCAAGGGGAAGCATGCTGTTGACCGGTGCGGAACGATGTTCGTGGAGACTGACTGCCCGACCAGGTTTCACTTAGGTCACGGATCGTGTTCTGATATTTGCCGAACATGGGTTTTAGCTTCGTGCTTCGCGACCCGTTTTTTTGGGTGTAGAACAGAGCTAGAGGAATACGGTCAATTGTGGGCAGAAAAGAAACTCGGCGCGAAAAAAAATCGCCGCTTGTAATTGGAGCAGCAATAATTCCATTGTGGAAAGTGATCCCGAATATCTGCTACCGTATTGAAAAAGGCCACCATGGAGAGAAGGTATCGCCCAATCATCACTCACGCCATTCATGAGTCTCGAAGTAATCTCCTTCGCTGTAAGAGAACCTCGAGTACGTTTTGGGATCATCGAGGGAAGAAGCCAAGGACATCGAGTCAGGAACGGGCAGGAGGATGAGGGTCGGGAGGTCCGGAATCAGTGCGGACGGGGAATTAGTCGCTATTGACGCGAGTCCACACGCCCACTGCTGTTGATACCTGCAATAGATTGCGATGGGAGGAGGAGGAAGCGACGACGGTGGGCCTCCTCTATTGAGATGCTAACTTACTCCCGGGAGTTCAGAGAGCCGGGTCCAGGAATCCTGTCGTGGTGGTCGTCTTCCTCTTCTTCTCAGGTTTTTCTTCCCTGCCGTCTTCGCTCCGGCTGGTGCCGCATTGAAATTCACTCTGTTAGAGGAGGCGTACACTCTTGTTATTGTTGTAGACGTCATTCGAAGGCAGAAGGAAGAGAAAAAAAAATAGGGTCGACGCCGATCCCCTGCATCACGCTCAACTCTCGGCTGAGAGGTATGCTCCACAATCGCTTTGTATCTCGGCACTGCATAAAATCGGTCCCAACAGTGCTCGGACAATACGATGAACCTCGCAGAGGGCGCAGGAAGATCCTCGGAGTCGGAGTCTCATCGCATGATCTTCTAGCGAGGTTAGATATTTCTGCGAAACTCGAGGCGATGGTCGCGGAGAAAGGATGTGGGAATCGAAGTCTCTGTTGTAAAAGATCGAGAATATGTCTCGAGGTGTTGATGAGGGCACACTTTTCGACTCGATCGCCTGGCCGAGTAATGACGCGGGGCGTCGGTTCCACGCTCCGATCGCTCGCTGCTCGACTCGGTAACTGACTCTTCTCGAAACTTGTTCCTTCCCGCATTGCCGCCATCAATAAGCCGTGCTTCAAAAGCCTTTGGTGCGCACTGGAGCGTCTCCCATTTGAGTGGCTCGATTCCTGGCTTGCTCTCCTTCGTGCAGCCTGAGTCACCGCCTGAGTTCGACGACTTCGTGGTTCCTCTTCTGGACTCCGTCGTGCGCTCTCTCCCCCTCCCTCGTTCTTCCGAATCCGCGACGAGATTCTGGAATCCGCCTCGAGAATCGCCGAGTTCGAGGTGAATTTCTCGAACGTTGCCCGAAGCTTTCGGATAATAATTAGCGGTATGGGAGAACGCTCGAAGTCGAGTTCAATTTACGCAGGAGTTGCAAGGTGACATTGAAGATGTCCGATGCTTGCGATATATCCCCCGGTCCAGCGTCGGAGCCGCGCCCACTTCATCCAAACTTTCCTTTCTTTCTCAACTCAGAGGGTCGACTTAGTCTGTGGTCATTCGCCTGACCGCAAACTTCCCGCCGCAGAATTCTCGTCTGACGAGCGAACTTGCGACAGGACGAGCAGAAGAGCCGAGCTAGTCAGCGTATTGTGTCGCAGTTGTGTTTGTTAACCTTGTCGTCTTTGTTCTTGCTCTGCGAAAATCGAGAATGCGCCCGAAGGCGATTCTTCCACTGCGAGCGCTCCTTGTCTCGTGCCCCGCGAATGCGCGGCTTCGCCAGTCGGGAGGCGCTCGAAGTTCCCAGTCCTTGGTCACATGATAATGTCCTCAATGATTTCCGGGTCTTCATAGCATCCTGTGGGAGGGGATCCGCAAGGCTCATGGATCTAATGCTGAAAACAAAATGAAATTTATAGTTGAAGGCTAGGGAATTGGAAAGCTGTTCCGTCAGTGTGGCTCTGCCGTACGAAAGTCTAGTTGTTGGCCAACATCGTTCACAAACCTGGGCTTCGGATCGTGGATCGGTCAAATGAAATCGCAGAGCCGATATCGGCTGCATGCCAGGACGGTTAAGGCTACAAGGAGAATTTACTGGCGTTCGTCGACTCCCAATAATGTAGACAAGTCACGCCACGCTCAAACCGATCTTCAATGGCAGAATAATCTTGTCTACGCGATCGTGACCACCTAGGCATTGATACTATTCAAGGGCACGGTTTGTTCCGCTGCAGAGTCGATACTCATGCTCGAGAGCTCTGTGCCACGAGAGCTCGACGAGGAGAGGCACAGTAAAGGTAACCTTGTTTCGCTTCGAAGACTTGTTAATTGAAAGCGATTTTTATTTTTCAGATGGAGCATGCCGCTGCACATTCGAATGAGGACCGGTTCCGCTGCTTCATCTACGAAGAATGGCGGGGCCGCAGTGGGCAGGTCGAAGGCTACCACATCGCCATATCTGGAGACGCCACATGCGATGGAGTTCAGTCTCCCAACGAAGGGAGCACTCTCCTTGTGAGTATCGAACGAAGCTCACCAGTCCGCTTAGCGACTGCCCAGACGCAAGTCCTTAGCTCAGCAGTCCATGGTACACTCATCGGCCCAGTTCTCTCCTCGCGAGCGTCGACAGACACCGAGTCAGGACGAGCGACCGGAGGCTCCCATGCAAAGTCTGCATTCGTGTGTGCAGTATTTTCTCCACTAGGGGCCTGGCCGACAAAGATGGCGCCAGCCAACTCGACCACGAAGTCAATCCTGCCTTCATCGGGTGTAGGAGGGGGACGAAGACCGCCCGGAGGATGGGGGAATGGGAAAGACCAGGCGAGAAAGTCGAACCAGAGGCACCTGAGGGCCTTGCGGGGAGCTCTGCCCCCGCGTAGGGGCTCTCAGCACTCGAGACTGGGCCGGATCGCGGCCCCAGTCAGGGAGTCTGAACGGCGATCGTTGAAGCAGAGCTCGACTCAGTCAGTCAGCACTCAATCAAGTCGGGCGCGAGATGAATAATTTCCTGAAACAGACAGACGAGCGCGAGCTGGAGGGCTGTGGATGGATAAAGAGAGACTCGACAGAATATCCATTAGGTGCTGACTGTTGTTGCTCTTGATGCTACAGCTCTGCTTGTTCCTGTGTTGTAGGAGACGTGTAGCAGCAAGCAGTTGCAAATGGAGAGGGGTACAGACAGATCAACGCTCAGACAGACCGAGAATCGGACGGCGGAAGAGCAGGCGAATGAATGAAAACCGGCGAACTAGTATCTGCTCGGTCGCGGTCGCAATCGCTCTCGTCGTGGGCGTTGTTGCCGCCACCCACGGATTGTTGTGCAATGAAAAGCACTTTTTGACTTTGCGGCTGCTCCCATCACCGCTGCTCAGTTCTCATTAAGTTTGGCGAGACGCAGGTTTGCTTGCAATACGGAAGAGATTCCCTTCTGCCTGTCGGTCGACGACCTCGACATCGCAACTTTCTCATCCGAGGAGCAGAAATCCGACCGGAGGCCAGAGAACCGAACTATGCGCGTTTCCGTTCCCGAGTGTCTTGTGTCGATTCGACTTCGAGTGAGGTTCTTGATCTATCCTATCCGGGTTCTCGATCCCGACATTCGTTATCAGCACGACGCGGGAGAGAAATCGAGAATCGCTTGGTCAATAATAGAATAATTACAAAGGCTCTGACCGGAGAAGACCGTCCGGAGATATCTCGAGGATTCCGCCGGTATTCGGAGGCACTGGCGCAGTCTTTGAGCACATCGAGTCGTACGCTCGGGCAAAAATTTTTCGAACACGCAGCTGCATGGGCTTTCATCTGGACAGGAGAATGCCCTCTGCCGCATCGAGCTGGTTCTCGTAAGCTCGTTCTAATGGAAACACGCGGCGGCAAGTCAGCAGAGCAGCGAGCCGACTCCCGGCTCGCGAGCAGCCACGACGGCAAGGAGCGAGGGATCACAGGAGGATCTTCGAAGGGGAATCAACGAGCATGGAAGAAGGAAGATGATAGTCGCAAACCATCCGCTTGGCTGAGGCAAGCAAGTCCGGCGGCCCAGCTCGATGCTAGTCGCTCGTACGAGACACAAGAAGGCAAGACGGTAAACGAGAGAGTGGGCCGGCCGGAGCTTGTCTCCGACAGACTTTTCGCAAGAAATGTCGTCTTTCTAAACGATCCCTTCGATGTTGGCAGTTGTCCCGCACGCACGCACTTAGTTCCCCCGCGATGTCCGTCCTTACGTATCGGAGCCGTCTCGCTCGGGGTTGCTGTGTGACCAACGTTGAGTGAACGTCCAAACTTCTGCTCCGGAATCTCTGATGGAGTGACGGTAATAATTGATAATGATTATTATCAATCTTGATCTTGATCATGAATGGCTCCGATGGCTGCAGATCGTCGCCTCTGAAAGGAGCTGATGGTGATCGATGTCCATTACGGGCCAGCCTAACGATGTAAGGCTCTCGGAGCTCATCTTGGGAAGAGCCGGATCGAGATCGATTGGCGACGAGCGATGCCACCCCCGACAGAAGGGTTCAAGGCGAACAGGCAGGACATGATCTTGATCTCAACGCCTCAATGCAGCGCTGAAAGTCGCGTCCGAGGCATCGGAAATAGAACGGCTGCCTTGAACTGAGGGAGCAGACGGGAACTGCAACGCCAAAAGCAGCAGCAAGAGCGGCAACAGCAGCAGCAGCAGAAGACCTCGTCCTGGGGCTGGTCGCCTCGCTTGCCATGGAACAGATTGTCTGATAAGGGGGAAAAGTAGAAAAAGAAATGTTGTTACACTTCGATAGTGTTCGATTTCCTTCGGTGCTTATCGGACCTACGGCGTGGCGGTAGGTGATGGTGTGCCTCTGCCGCTTCTGTCCGAGCTCTCGCCACCGAGACCACTGGTTCTCAGTGGTCAGTTCACTCCGAGCGGGCGCGCACTTATTGCTTTGAGCAAAACAGCGAGTCAGTATCTTTCTCTATTTATCTCTCCTCCGTCCACTTTTTCCGAGTACCCGGGGAGTCCTAAGAAGTAGTACAACAGCAGTGGCTGCCGTCCGGCCAGGCGGTCTCAGGATCCGAGAGGCGGCTTCTGTGTATCCTAGCATGGTTTCGAGCGGTTTCGACTGTGTAGCAGTTTTTACCCGCCGGAACTGGTTCTTGCCATCGGCCAGCGAACGGACGATCGAGCGACCGAACGAACAGACGGCAGAAAGGACAGATGACTCGATGCGGAAAAAAACTTCTCCAAGTACACCTCACGCTCATCCTCTCTTCCCCTCCATACTCCTTGATGCTATCGGTGAAGAGTATCGAGATCACTGATTCGGATCCCGAGTATCGCTCCTTTCCACTCCTGTGTATGTTCATGCTCACAAACACAATGCGGGAATGTCCGTAATCATCATAGCTCGGGATGCGTGGGATCGACTTGTGAGCGACGATGAACGCAGTCCAAGGTCAATGTTTGAGCGGATTACCTATACTCAGCTACTCGGAGGCCTCCTGATCTTCGGAAAACGGAAATCCGTATGACTCAGAAGATAACTCTCACCGACGAGCCACGTGAAGCACAAACCTGCGCTGAACATTCTTGGGCTCGACATGAAGGCAATACGGACAGGGAAGCAGGAGTTTCGGACGTCTGCATGATAGATACCGATGTTTATTCCTTGACGCTGTCAGTGACTCCTCTCGATCAGAAAATTGAGAAGCATACACAATACGTCTCAGACAATGCAGAGGAATCGCGAGACTTTCTGTCTCGGCCTCAACTCTCGAGCACGAGCTCTCGAGAGTCCGAAGGAAGGAAAATGTATCTATCTGGTGTCCCCTCGAGACCTTGCCCGACACCAGTGGCAAAAATGGAAATGGCGATGATGGAAGTAGTGGTGTAGAGAACCGTCAATGTCGAGCAACAAAGATGATTTTGCGCCCTTCTATCCATCCATCTCTCGGGGCGGGCAGTGGAACGGGCGGACGGACGGATGGACGGACGACCGAACCGGCTGGCTGGCTGGCGAGCGGACGGACTAGTCAGCCAACCCGACGGCTGTCGGAGGGGAGAACCAAGAGGCACCGGTTTCAGAGAGATGATATGTGGTCTCTGAGGTGGCCAGCCGGACGCACGAACAGACAGTGCAGGGACATTTAGACTGAGTCAGCGTCGAGAGATGAAAAAGCATCGTCGGTGCGACCATCATCTATTTTTACTTTTCGACAACAGCAGCGGCATTGTAGTCGTCTCTCTGTTTCAACTGACATAGGACAAAGTCCGCTGATGATGAAGGGGAAAAAGAGAAAGTTGATTCAGTCACTTTGGGAATTCCCTTTCTCTTGGCTTTCTCGAAATCTCCCGGACTTGCTCATTCCCCTGCTTGTTCTTCTCTTTAGCTTCCTGCAGATGACAGTGTTGAGAGACGCTCCGGGAGAGCCACGTAGAGGTTCCGTTTGTAGAACGCCTCTATCCCCCGGATCTCGCTCACAAAGTCTGGTTTCCGAGCGGAAACTGTCGAGCCCTGGTCGTCTCATCGGGAATCCGTCGGTGCTGACATTGTATCGCAGTTACACATACGCTCCTCCGTCGATCCAATCCGATACGGCGGCGATGCGAGGGCCGCCCGGTCAAATTTCGACGTCTCAGGGTCCGGAGATAATATGTTCCCCTCCCGCAAGAAGGTGCTCCAAGCGTACCAGCTGATTTTTTTGGAAAAAAAAACCCGCATGCATCAATGCTATCCATCGGGTACATTGCGGTCGAAGCGTGCCGATATTCCCACGAAGAGATTTCATCTCGGGAATTCCGGGCCGCAATCGAGGTTACGACGACGGCAGCTCTGTCAAGCACCGCGTCGAAAACTTACCATATGATTCGTAGAATACACGAGATCGGGTTTGACGAAGGGAGGCTTGGAAATCGATAATGCTTCTTGAAATACTGCACTGTGCAGTCATAGAACATCCGGGCCGGGTTTCGAAATCCGAGGCTCGAAACCTCAGATGAAAATCAGGACAGCCGGAATCAACGCAGCGCTTTGATTGGCTCCTCGGCCCGTTCGGAAGTCAGACGAGAGTTCTGTCCTGCAGCGAGGCGTTTCCTCTCGAAATGTGCTGGTCAGGTTCGATAATTTCGATACTCTCTCGGAACTCTGACGTTTCATTCAGAGCTTCGCATTCAGCTCCGGCAATCGTATTGCGGTATGTTCGACGAGCGAAAGCGAATGCCGTCGCAGAGCAGGACACGCGAACAAGCGGCTATGATTAATGCACCGGAACACATCGCAAGAACACGTGTGCGTGTGACTCGCGTGCTCCCACTACGACAATGTGTAAGTGGTGCTCGGTGGAAACTGTGTTCGAGCTCTTGCCGCTAAGCTCAGTTCCCGTTTGGTACAGGCGATCCGCCGCCACTTCTATCGGAAGGAGGATTTCCGCTGCTGATAAGCACGAAGCTTCCCTCTGTAGTCGTCTTATTAAACGTATGGGGCGCTGGAACAATGGCTCTGCTCTCACCGACGGGGAATATGTACGAGGAATAATGAAACGGAAGTTGGAGTAAATTGAACACACGGTCTCGACCGGAGAAACACTCTTCCTTTGAGAGAAAGAGAGAGAGACTCGGTCTTCTGAGGGACTCGTTTCTTGAAGAAACAAAGAGACTGAAACTCTCTGATTCAAGAACGAGCCGGGGGGATGAGTTCCCCCCTCTTCGAGTTGATTTCTCCAAAGTCGAACCCGAGTCAATGCTGGCTCGGGAGCACTGATTCCCTCTTTCCCAGTGGAGTGAATGCGATCGTGACGGACTGGTAACGATTATCCCTTTTCCTTTCAGTACATGAGCCGGAGTCCCCGGTCGAAAAAAATCTTTCCGTCATGGATGTACCAAGAATCGCATCATTGGCGAACCTTGAATGGCTCGCGATCGTTCGAAATCTCTCGGCAGAATACCTCGTTAGTCATCCAGTCGTCAAGATGGATTGAACAACGATGGACATGTGAGGACGCCTACGAAACTGGCGAGAACCAAGCAAAAATCGTCGTCAACGCTATCGAGGGCTGGTGCGTATCTCTTCCTGTCCTCCATGTCTTTCTTTCTCTGCTCTCTCCCTCTGCAGTATGGATATGGCTTCTCCCAACCTCTACTTATTCCTCCGGAGGAGCAACGTCCCGAACGATACCTAACATTTTTTTCCCTACTCTGCACCTACAGCGACAGCGGATACATCTGTCTGCACGTATATAGGAGAGCGTCGAATGTGCTGGAGCTCCAGATTGGACAGAGCACTCCGAGAGTAGAGGACGCTTGCCTGCAGAGTTTTTTCGATCCGAGTGATTTGGACTACGTTACGTTGATAGCCGACCCTCCGGGACAAATCGATGCGCCGTTCGAAGGCAAATACGTCCTCTCCAGACCGAGTGGATCCCTATTCGCCGAAATGCTCAAAACATCCAATATGGACGCATTTGACTGTTCCGGACAAATGACAGTATTCAGCGGGTGCGAAGGCGATGCGTCCCGCTTCGAAATCCGGAGCAGCTGTGGCACCGCGCCGGGGGAACCGCGACAAGATCGCAGCAAAGGTGAGCGCCTCGGAGTTTCGAGGATCGGGTCGCCGAAGAATGGGAAATCGGGAAACGCTGGAACTTCTCATGATGAAATTTCAAAATCGATCAGGGCTTATTCTCATTCTCAACTCGCATCTTTCCATCTACCCATTTTTGATTCGCCAACAGAACTCTAATTCCGCAAATTCCGTTGCAGTCATGTCCGTACAAGCGACCTGGGAGCGCACTGATGAGCACGGGAGCACCACGTACATTGTCGTATCGCATAACAACCAGAGCAAAGAGAGCCTCGAGCAGGGATTTTGTCTAGCGCTCACAGACGAGAACAAAAGAGTCTTCCTGCTGGGAGCGGAATCCTGCAGTCGACGGAGGGTTTCGAATAACTTCAGAATGGACTTCTATCTAGAGAGCGCGTGTCCGCCGCCAGGCACCTCGGTCGCATCGGAGCGCTCCTCCTTCGTATCTGTCGTCGTGCTTTGCTTGGCTGTCGCAGTTCTGACGCTGCGCAGTGTGCGAGACAGCAGCTTATAAGGGCTGCTTTAAAGTGGACCATGTTACTTTTGTGGGACGGGACAGGTGTCCATCCTGTTGGAAACAATGTTCTCCTGAAACAATCGGTCTGACCGATATTTGTGAGTGAACGACTGAGTGAGTAGATGACTGAATCCGAGGTCTTGGATGTATGGATGGAATCGTCGACATCACGTTTCGCTGGGAGTCGACATACATATGCAACTTCTGAGGAAAATAGCGTCGTCGGTGATTAGAGAATTCAGTTGCTCTGGTCTAGTCATGTCGACTCCTTTCAGAGGCTCGGTTCTGACCTTCAGTGCAGGCGCATTCGTGCGTAGACGCAAAAAAAAACTTTCATGACTTCGGACGTGCAGGTGATGGTTGAGACTCGAGACCCGAAGCCACTTGGTCGGTAGGTCGGTCACCTACCCGTTCCACATACGCTAATTTCATGCATAGTTTCGGGGACTTCTTTCTTACTGATCGGTTCCGAAACCCGGGACTGTAGAGGTACCCGGAATGGGCGGTTGTTAACACCCGGTTGTCCTGTGATGAACGAAACGAACGATGTTGGTGCTGTATATTCCGCGAGGGAAGTTTGTCGAATTAGTAACTCTTTGCTCAAGAGCACTTTGCTGTTACAAGGTGGTGCCACGACCGAAAGATTCTCACCGCTAGGGCGGCTTCGTTGCGAAAAGTCTCGCGACGAACCGCCTATGGGAGCACCTTCGTTGTGCTAGGATCGGAGACCCTGCTGATTCGGGGTGAATTCGATGTTCCCGTACATGAATTCGATGTTCCCGTACATGAACCATTCTGCGGAAGAATCGCAAAATGGTCCTCAGAAACCTTTGCTTCTGTTCTCATTCGCATCGCACTGACCACGAGAGAGGAAACAGTGCTCGGAGCCGCTGTATCGCCGAAAAAAATCAGTCCGTGAGCTTCTTTCGGCCGTCGCTGTATATTGGTAAGAATCGTATCGGAAACGAGCAAATGATTGATTGACTGAATGACCGAATCCGTCAAAGCTTGAGGGCGAACGGGTTCGATGGGTATGTAAACACGTGGTCGGTGGTACAATCAGGAATGGTCGAGGAAAGTCTTATGCAATAGAGGGAGTTCGACAGGGACTTTTGAGGAGCTAGATAAACTTCCTTCCTCCGGATGACAACGATTGTCCGAGGAGCTTTCATGGCTTTCATATCTCGCACCTTCCCCGTAAGTTTTGATTTGGAGTTTGGTTTTCACGGATTTTCAAGATTTCGTGCGATACCCTCTGTAGATACTCTGTACAAATTTCACTGCGAAACTCAACCAGACGGGGGAGCGGGGAGGTTTCTTCTGGAGAGGGAGCTGAATTTTCCTTGCAGTATTACGATTGTCAACATTCTCGTTGATTATCTTCGATTACGATAGCAGCTAAGAACGGGCATACGTATTATTAAAGATGAATATATATATTTAGGATATATCGCGCTATTTTGACGAGAGGCGCACATGACTCGTGCGCAGGTGACGCGAGACATGTAAGATTGCTTTGACGGATATTCTCGGGAGTAAAAGTTGTTTTTTGTAGATTTTCCTTTCCCCCTCTGATCTACAGTTTGACTCTTAAAATTCAGTTCGCAGCCTACGGAATCGTAATATTTGGGGATCTCCTCCAAGTTTCAACTAGAATATCAATCAACAATGGAAGAATGAAAATGATTTGTGAATAGCGACGGAAAGAGACAATTAATGTATGAATATCAATAAAGTTTTTCACTGTAAGTAAGTTTCCGTCCTGTGATCATTCAACGCCAAGAGGTGATTATGCTGGGAGGCTCCATTTCAAAATCGTCCATATTATCAAAAAGTTGACGCCTGAATCGCAACCTGATCGCGAATTCGAAGCTCGTACCAGGTCAGGCGGCCAGACCCGGAAGCATCGGCAAAAATGTCACACTCAAGTAGAAATCGGTAGATTTTGACGATGAGCTTGAAGAACCTTATCCGCGCGAGGCGGTCTCGCCTGTTCTTGACAAAGCTCGCCCTTGCCGCCTGGCATCCACTTCGCGCCAGACGGGATGAATGTCCCTGAGGTTTGAAATAAGAGGAATGTTGCCCCTTGGTGCTGGGACTACAGTGAAGACACCGTCGGGTCTCTCCTGGATGCGCGCAATATGTACCTGGTGAACGTTTCTGGAGCACCGTCAATCTGTACTCAGAGGTTCGACGAGAAAATTGCAACTTCCCTCCTGTTTCCTTGGTTGGAGAAAGAGAAAGGAAGTGCCTTATGGGAGACTACAGGTTACACATAGCATCTGAGACATTGGATCGCATTCAGTCGGTTCAGCCTCAAACTGACCGGAGTGTGCCCGTCGAGCAGCTGACCTAACATTCCGGCTGATGGGCTTCGGGGTTGTGCACCCGCATGTGTCAAGATTTTGCGAGCCAAATTGGACCTCATTAGTACTGTTGATGCGTCCCTCCCGAGATGAGCCTCGGTCAGTGCTGACGGGGAGCTCGAGCCTCGAGTCCAGCTCCGTTCGATGTATTGGTTCGTCCTAGAAAATCCTAGTTTTGCTCGATGAAGATATCCGCTCCCGAATCGAGAGAGAAACTTCCCGAAGCCGTCAGCTACGTAGGGAGTATATCGGCGACAGCTGAGATCTCGGAGGTCTCAGTTGGGACTCCTAGGAGGTCGGTGTTCAGGGCGCATCGAGCTATTGTATCCTTGAACTCATTGTGGAGTCACCGCGCTCTCCTCGCATTGTGGGACGGTCCGGGACCCGTGACCATTCCGGATTTCGGACTTAGGACCGCCCGAGCCATGAAGAGCTCCGGAGCCCCCGAATTTATTCCGGAGCAGGCGAGCGAGGGCGACCCGCGGTCGCGACGTTCCATAAATATCCGATATTTGAGAGCCATCGACGCTGACCAACGATCCCATGGATCCGGCTCTGCCTGATGGCATGGGCAGCATGAGTTTTCCTCAGTAGCTGGTCTTCGACTTTTGCACACTTGGAGCTCTGGTTTCCCCACTCGTTGACGGTCTGCTGAGCACTCAAAATACCTCGAGCAACATCCGGGGTGAACAATGAGAGGCCGCGGATTTCCGCCCGTTTTCAGATAGTTCGATTTTTGGTGCCTTATTCGTGGGGGAAATCTGTGAATCCAGGACACGGGCTCTCTCCCTTCGGGTTTCGACCGCGAATCCGAAGGAGATCCCAGAACCAGGCAACTTCCATCTCTTGTATCCCATCAGGTCTATCTGTGTTTTGCTCGAGGAATAAGTGATAATTTCTTGCGCGATCTCTCACGAATTCATTTCTGGAGTATGATCAGAATCAGGCTGAGCTCTTCGCTATAATGACCTCGACAGCTCTACAGCCGAAAGTGATCAGCAAAGGAACGCCGCGAGTGGTCGTGCATCGGGCGCGGAATACGAATCAAATTCCTGACAGCATCCTCAAAGATGAAAAACTCAAAAAAGCTATCGATGTTCTCCCCGCAAACTACAATTTCGAAATCTACAAGACAGTACACCGGTAAGTGGAAACAAAGGAAAAAGGGAGGGTTGTCATCATACTCATTATACAGATACATATATTATCGTAGGACCCCGGGGAACACCGAGTCTCTGATTTTCACGTGCATATATCCACCTTTCTCACTCCAGAATACGTCAACTGAGCGCCGAACTATCGCGCCCAGTGCAAGTGGCTCTTCAGCTACCCGAAGGACTGCTCATCTTCGCTCTGCCAATCTCGGATATACTCGAGGAGTTCTGCGAGTGTTCCACAGTTGTTTTCGGTGATGTCACGTACGGAGCTTGTTGCATAGATGATCTGGGCGCGAAAGCCCTATCTCTGGATCTTCTGGTACGTTGAAAATTCCTCCGTGGAATATCATCAGTTCTCATTCCGGTAGGCGAGAGAACAATGATATGCACTTTGCGGATCACAAAGCCTTAGCGTATACCATTCTCCTTTCACAGATCCACTACGGTCATTCCTGTCTAATACCGATGGATCGAACCGATACTCTCAAGGTTCTGTACATATTCGTGGATATTCGGATCGATATGCACCATCTCAAGGAAACCATCAAAGCGAACTTCGAGTGAGCCCGAATTTCAGACGGTATCCGAACGATTGAGATGCAGATTCTGAATTCAACGGATGGTGGACCTTCCGCAGTTGATGAGAAACGGTCACCCGCATCCGGACTCCTCGACGAGAATCTTAAGGCTCACCGCTGACTTTGCTTTCCAGACCGGCGACGCGGATTGGTGTCTTATCCACAATCCAGTTCGTTGCGACGACTCAAGCTCTCTGTGAACAATTGAGTGCCGAAGGCTACAATCTGCTCACACCCCAGACGAAACCTCTCTCGCCAGGCGAGACCCTGGGCTGTACATCGCCTCGATTCGATGCAGACGCAATTCTCTACGTCGGCGACGGACGATTCCATCTGGAAGCGGCAATGATCGCGAACCATCGGCTCAAAGCCTATAAATACGATCCGTACGACAAGACTTTGACTGAGGAAAACTATGCCTACGAGAAAATGCTCAAACTCCGTAGGGAGGTCGTGGAGCGGGCTGTGAACGCCAAGACCTTCGGTGTGATCCTTGGCACACTTGGACGACAAGGGTCGAACAAAGTTTTCGATCATCTGGAGGAAAGTCTCGTGGCTGCCGGGAAGACCGTGGTACGAGTTTTACTCAGCGAGATATTCCCGAAAAAACTGGCGCTTTTTGAAAATGTGGATGCTTGGGTCCAAATCGCTTGCCCCCGTCTCTCTATAGATTGGGGTTTAGCCTTCGGAGCGCCTCTACTGACGCCTTACGAGCTCAGCGTGGTGCTGAAGCAATCCGAGTGGTTAAAGGACTATCCAATGGATTTCTATTCGAGAGACAGTCTGGGCCCGTGGACACCGAACCACAAACCCAAGAAATCATGTGATGAGTGCGATTGTAAAAAATAAAGTTGTCCTACCCTGTTCCGGGGGAAGGGAGCTGAGTGATCCTGCGATCATGAGCAGTCCTTCGACTCATACAGACAGCTGTCGAATCTTTCTGCCTATTTTCGATGAATTCCACGAAGCATCATTCCATTTCTACTCCGGACCATCGGATGAATGAAGGCTGCGAAATGATCATTGCCTGAGCTTTGGAGCTGTAATTGATGATAATTGATTCTGGTCCATCAAGGCAAGCATTGGAGAATATTGTGATTGGTTCCCTGTCAGACCCCCTCTTTGATAGTCATCAGTCATCGGGAAGACTCCACAGGAGTCATTGCCAAGGTCATTCCGAGATTCAGAACCTCCCGGGCTCCTTGCTTTCCCTATCGTCAATCCACGGAATTAGTCTCGTTGTCGACCTTGAAAGAGGACGAATCGTTCTCCGGTGTAGAGGTTATGGAAACTCACCGCAGGACAGACGAAGGCGGGTGCTCCCCATAGCTGATTGAACACAGACAGCCGGTGGCTGTGTTCCATTGCCGAGGGGGAGTGTAACCTGACGTCGCGGATTTTGCGCTTGAAGAGGTGAGAATATACGATAGGTGGATAGTGGATACTCCTGGAGGAACAGTGATTGTGCTCCCCAGGTACGGGAGATAGCGAGAAAAGGGCGCCAGAAGAGATGGGAGATCCCGAACGCAACGCTCCACGTCCTTGTTTATTAGTTTTACCCGGGAATTATTCAAGTTCCGATCCGAGCACCCGTTTCCCCCCGATCCCACTCGCTTCGTTCCAACATCATCCTTGAGGTATTCCGCAGCGCTTGCCCGCATGCTCCCACACCACATGGATTTCCCGGCGGGCTGGCGGGTCGCCGTTCGCAATATGTGGAGCGAGTTGAGCAGTATGGAGACATGGCTCGCCCGCGGAAGATGTACAGTAGAGGACTAGGCATCAATAGAACAAATTTATTCTTGCATAAATATCACAGTGCTGGTGCGAACGTCGGAGGGAAGCTCACGGAATCATCCCTCGGTACCCTCGTAGTGTGGCACAGAGTTCAGAATAGCTTCCGTTCGACCATCGAAGGGCACGTCTTGATTGTTATGTATATAAGCCACGGGTAGATCGGCTTCGAACACGAAGTTCTTGCTCAATTGAATAGCCAGCTTAGAGGCGATCAGCCCCACGCCACCGGATCTCTGAGGACCCTTGTGATACACCCTGCCGTTGCTCGCTACCATCCATAAAGATTGGGGTTCGAAGGGAACCGACAACAATTTGCCAGCGTGATTATGATACAAAATGTCTTTCTCCAGCTGCGTGAAAACAATGGGAACATCATCGCACTTGATGTAGTTCATCTCCACGCCACACGGGCTCACGTATGGGAACTCATCCTACGAGAAAAACGTTCATCATTAAAACTCTGGAGATCTCGGGGCAACTTCGGGATTCGACTCGCCGTCCCTGTCCTTACAGCGATCAGCATGGAAAAGATAAATTCTCGCTCTCGATGGCGATGGAATCGCTCACAGTTACCCCGTAGAATCCGACGTCGTTCACTCGCACCCTCCGGAAGAAAAATTCGAGGAACTTGTGTTCTTTGAAACAAGATGTGAAGTTCTTTATGCGCGCGTCTTCCAAGAACAACATTCCTTGATGGTCGATCGCATAGAAATATTCCCTCTTATATTTCTGGCCGGCTTGACCTTGGACGTAAGTGAGAAGTCGCAGAGCCTGCCTGGAATATGAGTATCCATGAATTCCATAGGAGAGTTCTCTCGATCGGACGGGTGGTCCTCGGACTCATCAGGCAGAGGATTCGGAATTCGAACGTCCCGGGATGTCACAGCACAGAGACTCGCTGAATGCATTCGCGGCGACCGCTCACCTGGAATGACCGGCTCGGCTCTTCAACGTCAAATTGATGACGAGTTTTCGAAGCGACATGGATGCTCAGAATTTTCTTATTGCCAATTAAAACAAAAAGTTTCCTCGGAATACTGTCAAAGCTCTAGAGTCTTGTTGAGACGAGACTCAGTGATTCGAGCAATGTTGATATGCCGACTGCTTGCTGATAGTATATCCATTAGGATGAATATATCAAGGATTGATCCTAGGAACATAGGGAGCAGAGGAACGGGTGGCAAATTCCTCTCGTAGAACGGAGACTGGCGAAGAAGTCTTGAAGAATCTCCTCACTAGCTCCTCCGGATCCAAGACCGATCCCGACGAGGGCTAATAAAAGGCCCACACTTTGGCGGGGAGACTGTCAAGCCGCCACCGCCAAGTCGGTATCAACAAGGAGGCGGGCAACATTTCAAAACCGACTGCTGCCACGGAACGGGATCAGATCGGATCCGAAGCTGAGCGTGGAACAGCGGAAAGTCTCTCTTATGAAACTTCGCATTGATTTCCTGGGGCCGGGCTGTGACAAACATGCCATGTTCCTCGTCAGCGTTCGCCGCCGGTTTCGCGGATGGGCGTCAATTGCTCCCGAAGGGACCTAGTCGAGATCAGGTTTTCAGGGCGAATAGAGAGCGAAGGAGTGATCTAAACGCTCCCAGGGCCGACAGGAAGAGGTGGAAGGTGTCTAGCAGATTCACAAAAGTTTTCTCGACCGTCTCTGTACGATCTCGCTGGGCATGATCAATTCCTGACGGGAGCAGACTGGATCAGCTGATTCTGTCAGGTTCTCTGCGGGAGTCTTTCCTCCACTAGATCAATAAAAATTTCGAACCAGGGCCCAAGTTCAAGGTCGGTGGTCTGTTGTCACCGGCTATGGATGACCGGGTGGTTGGGGAAAGCCCTCATAATTACGAGACACTCATAGACTCATGAATTCTTCATGAGGGAGCAGCATACTTGGTGTGAGGTCGCTAAGTGGTGACAAATAGAACCACACAATCACCACAGCGAGATAGGAGCAATCCACACCACTGACACATGTCAAAGAGTATCCTCGGAACACACATCGATCGACCTCCTGGGGGAGCCTCCGCCAAGCAAAGGATCGTCGAGCGGGATTTCAAGTTGCGCTGCAGTGAAGCCTCGGGGACAAGCCGCGCTGGTCCGCTCGAATGCAGACGCACACAGAGAACCGAATGGAAACCGCGAGTTTTTTTGAATGGCTTGATTTCTGGCTCCGCCCCCAACAGCGGAAAAGTCGGCGAGGGTGAATGTTTATATGTCTGAGGTGGCCGTCGGGCTTTGTTCGTCAAAACAGCAAGTGTCTCAAGTATCAATCACAGACACCTGTGGTTGACTCGGGGCTGTCAATCGATAACCGGCGGAATTTCCCGTTATTCGAGGAAACTCACGGCGGGAGTTCGACTCGCCGAAAGCGGCTCCGAGCTCGCGAATACTCCGCTTCTACGGTATGGAGGAGCAACGCTCGCCCGCAGTGTTCTAGCCCCCGAGCGCAAGACGTCGCACCGCAGTGCCCAGCGAGTGTTCAGGCGAGCCCGGAGACCGGGCGCTCGCTCGGCCGGCAGAAGGCAAGCGATGGGACAGACTAGGAGTCTGGCGGGCAAGCGTTAGATTGCGTCGAGTGAGCATAATGCCTTTGGTGGTGCTGTATGTTACTCAAGCAGCAGCGGTGAGCTGGCAGCAGCGAGAGGTTGTCCCGGCTGGATGGCTGCTTGACGTCAGGGGACCTCCTAGCCAGCCAATGAGCGCCGGATGCCAGCCGTCGACCGACCAATCAGAGTTCAGCAGGCGGCCATACTGAGCCAAGCATAGCTACAACAGCAGCGAGTGGTGAGTGCTTCGAGCTAGAGCTTCGATAGATAAAACTATACAACCGACGTCCGCTAGGGCCGCCCGTGGCCCACACTCGACGCCCCGCGATCGTGCCAGCACTGGCGATCGGTCGCGCGGTCATCGTGGGGGCCCGAGCGACTCGAGAGCGTCCACCCCAGAGCCGACGTGCGGGCTTCACTACCCCGTAGAGTTTCGCACGTTCCCCTTTCTTCTGGCTGTTTACTAGCTAGACGCACGTGATTTATAGGTATCTACCGAACGCGCCCGATATATCCCGCGTGGCAATGTGTTCGAATTTCGTGCTTTTCGATCTGGCGCCCGTCTAAGCCTACATCGTCGCCACGAACAACGACCGACCGCAGCAGCAGCCGCGAGACGGCGATCGCCTATGCGACCGACGGCGCCAGGCCTAACGGCTGGTGCAGTTGCTACCGTTGCCGCCGCCGGCAGGCTCCAACTGATCGCGGTCCTGGTGGTGGTCGAGGACGGTGGCGGCGTTCGACTTTGAGAGACGATGACGATGATGTCTACGGAACGACGTCGTCGTCAGAAAGAAAGAGTTCGTCTGGTTATTCTCCTTGCCCATTCATCAGATCCTTTTTTTCTCTCCACGGCCGTCTCTTTAAGTCAACCACCACCACCACACAAACGTTCGCGGGTCGTCGTGTCGCGCTGGTTCAGTAAAAACGAGCGACGACAACAACGACAACTCTCGCAGAAGCAGCAGCAGCGGTTCATTCTTCTCGGTCTCTTTCGTTGGTCCTTTCCCCTCTCGCTCCACGCACACGACCAAGACCACCATCGGAACACATTTTCCATAGGCGCACAACTACCACGTTGATATGATCACTGCGAGCGACTGCAGGAACGAAGGTCCCGATCTCGGAATCGACAGCTTAACCGAGCATGACTCATCGACTTCTCCCACCTGGGAACTTGTCGTGAGCCGAAGAGTTCCGGGAGTAAGTTCCCATCGAGGTCGGACCGAGCATACAATAAATTATATCGCCATCCTCTGTGCGAAGCTTTTCCCAGACGCTGACGTGAGGGCCCGACGGGTGGACGTCTTCACCGAGTTATGGGGGACGGTCTCCACTCTTCGGCGCCGGACGGGGGGATTATCTCTGAGAAAAAACGCGTTTCGGTGTCTATCTCCGGGCTGTCCAACTGTCCATTGAGTTCATGGTACTGGACTAATTCCTTCCCTCCGATGTTCTATCGGAGGTACTAATGACTTATGATCCGCGGTAATTATCCGAGAGCAACGTCGAATCGAGCGTCACGAACTTCATTTCGTGGTCGTCTCTCAGGTTCTGTGGGTAGGGGAGGGGGGGGGGAGGGGTAAAAGATGGTCAGCTCTGAGTGAGAGGGATGAAAATCCACGATTCGGCATAGGGTTAAGGCGCAGCTAAGGGAACGACAGAGTAATTCCGGAATCTCATCGAGCCACCGCGTCTGTCTCATTCGTTTCCATGCTTCCACTAGCACGAGATATCGATTCCCTCGCTCTTCGACGCGCACTCATAGTTGGCGCTACCCTTAGATAGGGATCTATCCGAACTCAGTCGATGCCGACAGGAGACCCGCTCTCGAGTACGTTCTGTCCGCTGCGGCACCCAGCTTTCGTTGAATATCTCCGAGGGGGTTCTCCGGGCGGGGACGAAGTCCTCGATCCTTTTCCGATCGCTCTAGGTCTGAAATCAGTATTCCGATCGAGATAAGTCCATGCATCAGCGGTCTATATTAGCCTGTTTCTTCTACCGGAGTCGATCTTCGCCAATGACTGATGACGTCATAGAGATGATAATCGTTTCGCGAGGAATGAGTACGACATGAGGCCGATAGCGCTTCCTGAGGAAAAGTCGTGGAGAATGCATCCGTCAGAGTTCCGCCTCCTCCAGATCATCGACACAATCCGCGTAATTCGGTGTGGTAGCCGATCGCGCGCGTCGCGATCTGAGCTTCCTAGGAATAGAGGGGAACTCATAGGGATTAGGATTTCTGCCCTACGAGCTGATCTCTACCGAGCTCAGGGGTACCCACAGCGGTATCGTCACATCGTCTGCCGTTAGCTCTGTTTTGGGAGGGCTCGTCGTCGTAGCTCGTCGTCGTAGCGCGTTGATCTTCGCTGTACTCTCCCGCGCGCATATCCGACGCTTCAGTGGCGAACGGCGACTTAGCTCCTGTCCAGACAGCAGCACCACTACCCTCGCCGGTTGCGGCCATATTTACTATCACAAGCAAGCCACCATCCAGCAGCAGCAGCAGCATCGTACACACAACAGTTCCAAAGACAACTGAATACAGCGAAGCAAACGATCCCAATTTGTTGTGCGGTGTGTTGTTGCGTTTAGAGTTTCAATTAGGCTCCGCGCTCGGACAGCTTCCTCGCTCAGAGAGAATTGAGCGGCGAGTGAAGAAAAGCTTCCCGAGAAACGCTGTTGCGACTTCGAATTGGCGGCCAAAACAAGTCTAGGAAAATACCGCCGGTCTGACCCGTTTCAGTGACGCACAAGCGATCAAGGCAGCCGGGACTTCGCTCTGGTGGACCTTCTGTCAAGAAAGTGTACTCCGGACGGTGTTTCAGTGTTCTCGGTGAACGTTGAAATCTCCGAAGCAGGAAGCTCGGCCCAGGGATCAGCCGTTGACTGCCTGACCGAGCGAACGATCAAGCGATTGAGTGGGACACGATGGGGTTGTTGACGGCCGAACGTGCCCAAGTGAATTCTCGGACTTGTGCCTAAAGTATGGAAATGCGATTCCGGATCTCGAATGGATAGCCGCTTCAAAAAGCCGCTCTACTTAAGAACGTTTTCCATCCGATCGTAGTGGAAAGTCAGCTGGCCATCGAGTCGTGCAGCGAGCGAGCCCCATATCGCCAGAGTGATGAAGACGAGGAGGGCATTTGTTTTGTGACTCGGACTTGAAGTTTTTCGTCTGATCGCGGCTACGAACGAGGTTGGTGACCCCGTTTTTGCTTCTGGGCGCTGAAGCAAGTGCTTACTTGTGATTTTCGATGCTCCCATGGTCCTTCGCTCAGCGACGTTAAGACACCGACGGAAGTGTTCTTGAAGTTGATACGGCATACGTTTGTCTTCGAGCGTACACTTCACGTCGAATTCATCCAGTGAGGAGCGACTCCGGCTTCCACTCTCGACGACATCGGATGAAAGGCTGTACCGACTTTCGGTGTTCTTCCAAACGACTCAGTGCTCGTCAAGTGCATCGATTCTCCTTCAGTCAGAGAACAGACCTCTCCGTCCGTCAGTCTGTCTGTCGGTTCGCTAAATCGCCCGCCCGTCCGTCCATCCGTCGGGCGCTCAGGCGAGGAATCGCGTGGCGCAACGACCGGTAGCGGCGATAGAGTGCGCGACCGCCTCGACGCTTCTGTCAAGGCCGAAGTACTGATTTGGATTTCTTCTGCGACGGCGTCTATCCACTGACTGATCGAGATGGTTTCGAGGAATTCTGGCAGATGCTGCCTGCAAAACACCTGCACATGTTTCCGAAACTGAAGGTAACATCGAATTTCCCCGACTTTGATGTTCACCGATTTTACCGAATATTCCCAATCCGAATCGTCCAGCCGATGGACATAGGCATCTAGGGGCATTCGAATTCTCGAAACCAAGCGAATCTTAAGACGCACCCCCCACAACAATCCACCTAGGTCGACTGAACTGCTTTCCTGCTCACGGATAGCTGCCGATGTTCTGAAATTATCTCGTAGTTTTTCGAGTATCTCAACGATTCGGGGGAATTATCGACCGCGGGCCAGGAACCCGGCTCAGCGAGCTGGTTCCGCGTCGGTTCCCGTGGCTTTCCGCAACGAAACTCGATGAGCGGTTGCCTTCGAGGAAAATACCGCAGTTGATTTCGATGGGGAACTTTTAATTTGATGCCGCTACGACGTTCGAAAAAAACCGTCCTTCGACGTATCTAATGATGAAAGAAATGCCGGAAAACTGAGGGCCCGCCGGAATTTCTTTCGTTCGTTTCGTTCTCCCGGGCCGTGTTTTCGGTCGAGTCCGACTCTCGATCTGCAGAAGAAGCATCAGAAAGCTCCAATTTCATCGTATCGTTCTTCTCTTTTTCAGAAGCGAGCTCCTTCAGAACCTATATTGGAGGGCAAACTTGAATTGTTCTAGGGGGGGTGGAGAGCATCCGACCCCCCTTCCCGCATTCACCATAGATCCTCTATCTAATATCTTCTCTAGTCCTGGGTTGTCGTCCGCTTGCTCCTCGTCCGATGGCCGACCAAGTAATCAAGATGGGCAACATTCAAGTAGCGTCCAACACCCGATGGGGGCCCAGAACGGGGTCCCCGCATCGGGTGGCCAACCGTCGCAGATCGACCCGTCGGACTTCGGGTCGGCTGCCCACTTGCTGTTCCCGTCGGGGAATTTGGACATGGACGATGGAGGAAAATGCTTGCTAGATGTCATCAATGATCCGTTGCTGTTTCAATCGTTCTTCGAAGGACGCGAAGATGCAGATGGCCTTTCCGCTAACGTGGTTGACCAACAGCTCGAGAGTCTCGCCAACGGTTCCGGAAACCTGTTACTGGGAGCCAGCTCATCGAACTCCACACTCAGACCAGCTCCGCTCGCGAATGGTGGACAACTTCCTGTGTCGTCCACAGCAGACAACAATGGCCGTGCCACGAACGGCGAAAAGCAGCATAGTAACAATATCAATCAACTCAATTTTAGTCGTTTGGAAGATCACCTTGGCCCGGTGGATCTTCAAGCACCCAACGGTCCCCAGACAGCGTCACAAATTAATCTAGATCAGGTCAGTGTCGATTCTCGCTTGCGACAAGCTCGACGACACCGTCGTCCTCCCGGATTATGTTCGAGTGCTACCGTTCGACGGATTTTCGCATAGATTTGAGATTAGCCTTCTCCATTTCAGATCAATTTAAGACTAGATTCTGGAGTTCCGGGTCTTGATGCCCTCCATCAGCAATTGTTGTCTCAAGGCGCGTATTCGTGCGGTGGTTTAAGTAGGGATTTCGAAGATGTCTCTCAAGACACCCAACAACAACAGCACCTCTTAAGCAGTCAACAACTGTCAGCTGGTCATCTGCAAACAAATCAAACGCAGTCAAGCACATCCCCCATATCTGCATCGAACGTCGCGAGCAATGCGACGTTCCAACAAACGACAACGAACACCGCCGTGGACTGCCAGCAACGTGTTGTTGCCCAGTCCTACAACTCTTCATCGGCTGGAAGTTCTCCGGTTCTAACCCAGAACAGCATAAACGCTTCTCCTGTTCGTTCGCCGTTGAGTGTTAGTCAGCGGGCGACCCCGACCACGATCACTTCGGGCTCGCCCCTCATGATCCCCCAGCAACAGCAGCAGCAGCAGCAACAACAACACCAACCGCAACCTACCCCCAACATCAACAAATTCAACAACAGCAGCAGCAGCAACAACAACAACAGCTTCAACTCCAGCAACAACTCCAAATCCAGCAGCAGCATCAGCTGCAACAACAGCTGCAACAGCACCAGCTGCAACAACGGTTGCAGCAACAGCTGATTCAGCAGCAGCACCAAACGCCGGATCAGCAGCAACAAAAGCAACAAACCCAAAATCAGATCCTTCTGACGACAGGTCCACAGCGTTCTGTAACTCCGCAGACGCCAAATGGAGTTTCTAGCGCGACGACATCAAACCCAGCAACCCCGGCACAAGCATCCGAAGGGCTCACCCCTTCTCCAAGTCCCCAGCTGCAGCTTTTGCCGCAACAACCGCAATCGCAGCAGCAGCAGCGAACTCCACCCCTGCAAAGCGTACAGACATCACCTGCGCCGCAGCAACAAGCGGCGCAACAACAACCGGCGGCAGCTCCTGTGCAGCAGTCGGCGATCCTCACCGGTCATCAAGTCAGCAGTCAGGCGGCGGGCTCCCTACAATTGACGGCGGCGACGGCGACATCATCGACGGTAACTGCAGCACCGACTACCACGAGTCCGGCTCAAATAATTTTCGGGGCTCAACAAGGCATTATTCAGACGGGAGGTCCTGCAGGAACCATTTTGCTCAACCAGCCAATGCTCTCTCAGGCGGGACTGTCCGCCGGTCAGCAGCCGCTCATCGTACAATCGGTCAACGGTCAATTGCAGTTGATACGACCGCCTCAGATGATATCGCAAGCGGCCACGTCGAACAACGCGAACGCTCCGAAACTCATGCTGCAGACTGCTCAGAGTAGGTCCAACTTCGTGTTGGCGCCCAAACTGACTCCTGGTGGCGGTCTGTCGTTCCAACTGCAAGCGGCGCCGCATCAACAGCCAATACTCCTCCAACAGCCGACGATTCTCGGCGCGACGCCGACGTTCGTGCAAATGAGTACTCCGAACACCCCTCCCCTGATGGCTACGCCCACCCCTCCCTTGGCGACGACGCCCACCCCCGTACCGCCGCCCTCCACTCCGAGTCCTGCGCCAAGCAAACCGCCGACGCCAACAGGACATAAAGAAAGCAACAAGAACAATAAAAACAATAATAATAACAACAACAGCAATCATAACAACAACATCACTACCGGAAATATCAACAACAACAACAATAATAATAATAACAACAACAACAACAATATTGAAGAACAGCCCAAAGCCAGACCCAGTGTCAACTTGGGAGACCTCCTGAAGGAACATGGCATTCTAGACGCATCTCCGCCTCCGTCCCCTCCCGAGCCCGAATCGACACCAGTTCTCGAACAGCCCAAGAAGTCGGCTCTTCTTGAGCGGTTAACAGCAGCACACCCTCCTGTGAGTATGCACCCCTCGATGTCTACGAGAGATTCTTCAATAAATTACCTCCAGACGATCCACAGCGACCACCCCCTGGGAAATTAAATTACGATTCCCTGGGAACCTCTGGAAGAGATCGCATGCTGTTACTGACGTGGAATTTGATTGTTTCAGACTCCAGCACCGACGACGACGACGCAGAAGGTCGGCATGCTGCAGATTAACGGGAACATGGTGCCGGTAGTTCTCCCTCCACAGGTGGCGGGACAACCTTCAAATGTAATCAATGTACAGACTCTTCGACAACCAACGCCTCAAGTTGTATCTAGGGAACAACAGCCCCAAACTCCGCAATTGACCTCTCCTAATTTAAGTGCTATGCAGCCCACTGTGATTCAGCCCGCAGCTACTGGCGGTGCTCCAAGGTACTTCCGAATGATTTTCCACCGCTCTTATTCGACGGAGAATTTCCAGAGCCCACCTCGTCCGACGAGGGGGAAGACCGCTGCACTCGGCTCGTCCGGTTCCTAACTTGAATCATTCGCTTTTCCAGGATGGTATACTTGTCTAATAATACGACATTGGGGAACGGCGGGAAAGTGGTCTCGATGCTCGGCGGTCAGATCGGTCAGCCGGGTCAGGTTGTTATCAGACACGGAGTGCCCACCAGGACTCACCAGACCTCCCCGGTCAACGATCCTCTATACGACAGATTGAAGACTCAGCTGGCGGGTTTAAGTGCCCTGGAAAATCCCACGATACAACAACGACTCCTTCTGCAGCAAATGGTCGGTCTTCAAGAGAAAATGAAGGAACAGGCTTCCCAGCAAAATAACCAGCAAGCCCAGCCAGCTCAGCCTCTGCTGGTGACTCCTCAGAGCGGCCAGGTCGTACTGGGGGGAGGTGTGAGCGGCATGCAACCGCAGATTATTACTATTCAACCGCAGCAACTGCAACAGCTGCAAGCGAATCAGCAACAGCTCCGGTCTCAACAACACGTAAGTTTTTTTTTTCTCTTCGGTTTTCCCTCCTGTTCTGTTTTCGCAAACACACCAGCACTCTTGTCGCGTCGATCCGCTGGCACCCGATACATTTTTCGACACTTCGCGAGTCGAATCCAATACGGACAGGGAAACACATGCGTACTCGAATCAAGACTCCCCAGTAGTTCTCGAAATCCGCTCTCCCTGATCGTAGAGATGGTGTCCGCTGCGGCAGACAATTCCCCAATTCCCCCCGCTCTACGTCGATATGTAATTTAGTCCCATTGTTCGAATCATATGTACGTATGTATGTCCGCTTCGCTCCGCTTAACTTCCAACTAACTTTGCTAACGGTCGCTAACGGGTACTTACTAACGGCAGCTAAGAACCATCGCGCCTGCGCCGATTCAAATGCCAAACGGGGCCAAACTGCAGATGGCTAAGGGTTCGACGGCCATTGATCCTGCGCAACTCCTACTCGCTAACGGATCAGCTCTAATCAATGGTCAACTACTCGGAGGAATGCCTCCGGGGGTGGTGGTAGTACAAACGTCTCAGGCGATGACCGTTCCGACATCTACGGGGGGCACGGTTCAGGTCAGCACGGTCGCAGCGGCGTCGCAAGGCGCTACCACGTTCGTTAACGCACTCAATAACCCGGCCACTAACACTTTGGCTGTCGGACAAGACCCCAGCAAACAAATTAGCCAAGCAAACCCGGCGGCACCTTTCATTCTTGGAGGCCTAAACGCTAATCAGCAAATCTTCAAGAAGGTCGTGCTCGGCAACGTCAACGGCATTCCGACGATGGTTCAAATAAATTCGAATCAACTCAACCAGCTGGGCCAGTTCGGCCAGAACCAAGGAATCGTCCAACTGATGACCCAGCCCCAAGCCACCCAGCTGATGTCGACGGCGCCGAAGCAATTGCCGGTTGTAAAATCCGTCAATTCGATCTTGAACAAAGCCACCACGTCGTCGATGTCGTCGTCCGGGATGATGGCAGCGACCGTATCGACCTCCTCGTCCCCAGCTACATCGTTCATCCTGACTTCATCATCGTCGTCGCCATGCGTGTTCTCGGTAGCGACCCTGGTGTCGACATCTGCGACAACATTGACTACCACAACCTCGACAACGAATAGCGCCGCGATACCGTCGGCAAGTCAAGAACCGCGGACCAAGGTCCGAATGCAGGCGCCACCTGCTCCGCCTGTGAAGATGGAAGTGTGCGATTCCACTGTTGGGACCACCAGTCTTCCGTCGAAACAGGAAAGCTGCCTCCCGCAGAAAACGATTCCGATCATCAGCCCCACCGTTGCCGCATCTCATACTGTAAGCAGAGTCGAAAAAGAAAGAACACGCCAACGAGACTTTTCGGAATGCTGGAATGGAGTTGTTATTTCATCTCGTTTTCCGGGACGCTTGCGCTAGGGCTTGTTACAACGCTAACAGCTTCTGAGAGAGCTTATGTTAACGCTTGGCCCACCGATTGTTGTCGTTTCTTTCGGATGTCTGTCTGTGTTTCTCATTCCTGTGTTCGTTGTGCATGGTTTCCCCAAAAAAAGTATTCCGCCCCCCCCTTCCCCCATCCTCCTCCCGCCGGGGTTCTGCCCGAACCTCCTACTCCTCCTCCTTCTTATGACCTCCGAGCGACCTCTGCTCCAGAACTCCTTTTCCTCCCGCCATGCTTCGGTTTGTGAGTGTTTTGATTTTTCGGACTCCCGAACGTCTTCTGCTCGAAGAGTCCTATGCCCCACCGCACCCTTCGGTCCTTGAGTGAAATGTTTTCCGAACCCGAGCTCGACTCCCTCTCCGGGAAAAGTTATTGCGTCTCGGGTTATTTGCTCTTATCTACAATCTTTCACCTGAGCCGGATTCTGGAATTTGTCAGAAGACGGTGTTGAGATCTCGACGCGATCCGCTTCGTTCCTGACAGTTCCCTCGATATTCGCAGCCTCTGATCTCAACCTGCAGTTCACCTTCCCCGGCGTTAGCGGGGACCTCGGGCACCGTGGCCTCGAGACAACCCATAAAGGTCCAAGTCCCTGTGAGTGTTCCGATGAACATCGCTGTAAATAGCGCCAACAAGAAGCACGTGAGTACTTTAGAGTCTACGATTCCGAAACCCCGATATGCAGCATACACCTGATGCCATGCAAGAGTGAGATCGAGCTGGACCCATCGAGAGGAAGGCAGCGCTAATTTTCTCACTCCCCACAGACTCCACCGAAGAAGGTCGCTCCCATTGAGGACAAATTGAAAACAACCCCGACCACTATCAAGTGTGAGATCCCGACCCCTTCGCCAAGCAATGTCCTGCCCCAAGTCAAACAAGAAACGAAACAAATTAACGGCGGGTTCGAACTTATCCAATCGCCGGTGTCCGCGCCCAAAGCAGCAATCTCATCTACGCCGCCAGCGTTGCCGCAGCAGCAGATACAGCAGCAGCAACAGCAGCAGCAGCAGCAGCAAGCGCCAACGTTGTCGAAAGCGGCCAAGAAGAGACAAGTTGCCAAAGAGCGCGAACGACTCGCACAAGAGAAAGCCAAGAGAACCCGTTTTGAGAAGCTCGTCTCTCGCGACCAACAATCCATATTGACCCCATCCCTCGATGAGTTCCGGAGCCGGGACGACGCTATCGAGCGCTTACTCCCCTACCACCTAAATGACGTCGGAGGACCCTCAGTTCTTGACTTGCAGGCGCAAGACGCCTCATTTGAAAACCTTTCTTCACATCTTCTGCGACAGAAGGTCAACCTGATCTCAAGATTCCACTTCAGCAGGTTCAGGTCCGGCTTGGTAAGTTTGCCCTCCGTATTTTCCCGCGAGATGGGTCATCCTGACAAATCCGCGAACGTATTGCACTACGGTGAAACCTTGTCACAATGAACCTCCAGGACCGAAAAAGTGTGTTCGTGGTGAAGATAATTTGCTTGGACGAATGTTTTCCATCATTATTTCTACGGCAAGCTGGCCAGACGGATGGCAAAAAAGTCTCCGTTTTACGGAAAATTCCGTGTTGAGGTGTTCGTTGTGACGAGGTTCCACTTTATTCAGTTTGTCCGGGCTTCGGTAACCTGAGCCGGGCTCAGGTATTCGACGTGTTCTAGAGATTCACGACGGGAGTCGGTGGAAATCATGAATTAATATCCCGACAAAAATCATAGTAATGCAGATTATATATACGATTCAAATTTTCGAACGGTTCTGATGAGGCTCTTCCCTGCTTGCAGCTCGAATGTTCTACTAGCGAACAAATGTTGGTGTCCAGAATGCTTCTCGAAGACGAAATGGACATGAAAGCCGAGCGCAGCCATGACGACGATCCAGTAGATGCAAGAAAAGGTAAACATATGGAAGAGTACGACGACAGTATGGACAACGTGAAAGGGACCAGCGAGGCTTCCTCGTCGATGATTCACGCGCCAGAGAGTCTTGATCTGGAGGATGGTATTTCTTCGCATTCCACTAGCTGTCAATTGGCAGACCACGTGGTAGGCGACGTGAGCAACCAGGCGCTCGGGGAAGACTCTTTGTCAGATCTGGTTTCGGACAGCCATTTGTTGTCAAACCAGTTGTTGGCGCCAAGTGACGATCCCGACCTCGACAACGCTGTGAACTCGATACTCTTTGCATAGTAAGCAACTTTTCTCGCCGAGTCTCTCCACAATTCCGACAGCGCGTCCCATCCCCGTCTCCGAATCTCGATTTGACGCATCGATCGATCGATTGAATCGACCCGGGATCATTGCGTCCTTGGCGACGAACAAAACCCACATTCTCACCCAAACCCGTTCACCCAAACAGCAGCAACAGAGAACATCGTGGCGGCCAGCTATTTTACTCAATTTAGATATCGATGATCAAGAGCAACTGTTGGGTTTCCTAACTTATCCGAGGAAACTTCGATCTCGCAGCAACGGCTAGCAGTTGATGATGGAGACGACGGAGAACGCGTCAAAGACGAATATAACCATGGCGATGATGATAATGATAATGATGATATAATGTTTTGTGATTTAGTCTAAGTCGTCTTCGCTGTTTCTCAAACTGTCGACGACCTCGGGACCGATGCGGTAAACTGCGGATCATGGCGGGCAGGCGAACGACGGACGCTGATGTCGCGCACGCGCGTGTCTTCTTCCTCAGTCGGGTGTCGCGACGGCGGCGCAATCCATACGTGGTATCATTTCTTTTTATACACAAAATGACATTTTCAAATGCGGGAAGGAATAATGCACTCGAATGAAATGGTTCTATATTGTATCTTATTGTACAAAATACTGTTAGTCTCAACGACAAACGCGCGCCGATGCTCCAGGAAGGAGATCCCGATCAGCTCGTCTCCCCCCAAGCAACTGACTCAACTCAATGCGACTCCAGCGGTCTGCATGGTCCCGGTACGAAAATGTTTGAGAAGCGTTGGCCTTCGGTACAACTAGAACAAGTGGGAATCATCCACGATCAATATGAATGCACTGCAACGAGAGAGTGAGAGAGTTTCGAGGAAAGGACAAAAACCCACAAAACGGGATTCTGAATGAGACCTGTAAACACGAGCCAGAACAAATACTATACGGAATGGGAACGAATGTTGAGCCTTGTCTGGAACGATTGGATCATACTTAGTTTAAAATCGTCTTCGCCGATCATGGGTTGTGTACAGGATGACTGCGCGGACGAGTGGTCCTCAACCTGAGTATTGTCTTGGCGAGCAACCGAGAAAGCATGGCGAGGAAATTGAGAACGATGAGGATGAACGAGAAGTTCGACGATGTGGACGACGGCATTTGGAAGATGATTGACCTCAAACATACGAAGCAGACGCGTGTAAATTATTGTGTTGTTAACAGAGATGTCAACAGATACTTTCAGAGTGACTAGTACCGGGGAATTGTAGAACTTTGCTTGTTAAAAAAACACGGACGACGGACATGACTTTTCTCAACATTTCCAGTCTTTTCCGGATAGGTAGACCTTCAGCTCTGGACGAGTTAGCAGCTGTGTGTCCGGGGTGCTTCCTCGCGTTCGTGGCTGGTGCAGGTGTGTGTTCCTTGTGTTGAAAGTGACTTGTTGGAGCTGTCAACATGATTTCTTTTCAACTTGGCGCAGAACTTCCGGTCTGTTTCAAGCTCACCCCATGGTGGTCACGGTCGAATCCCGGCAAGAGACCCTCGCGGAGAGCTTGACACCGAAGTGAGATGAGGGAAATATCCCTGCATTCGCGAACGTCACCTTATCGATTACAATCGTTCCTCATCTCACTCGTGTCGCTTTCCCGCTCTTCGAAGGGAGGAAAATCAGAAAATCGACTCAGCGACGAGAGATGCATTCCTCGTGTCTTCATTCGCTGATTTCATCGGCGTCAAAATCGAGCGCTTATCCAAGATCGGCGTTCTGGATGTCGCAAGATGCACGCACCTACGCTGAAGCTCATTCTTAGGGGAAGTTCACGACGTTGGCAACTCACTCGCTCCGGCCCTTCGATCCCGACGGGATCGGGTGGAGCACATTCATATCAACATACAGGGATGAAAGAAAAAAATGTATTCGAGCCACCTCTCGCTGCCTCACAAGGATTGGCCACGGAATTGTTGAATCAGTAATGGACAGGGTAAGACAATTACTAGCGCGATCCATCGAAACTCTATCTCCCGATCCGTATTCCACTGGGTATACGCATTAGGAACTTGAGGCTGCTCTTCCATTCGGAACATGACCGAGATCGATTGATCCTGGATGAGAACGAGCCATCGGAAGATCATCCGATCATCGGTAGATTGCCCGTCGTGTAGAGAAAAAAACGGAAATCCCGGAAACCAACCGAGATCGCGAGTTCGGAATCAGAGAAGTATCGAGTGGCGAACGGCTGCTACTCCGTTCTGAGTTCATGTCGACGTGACTGAGAGACCCAAGTGTTCGCGTTGGATATATGATAATGTCGAAATATACGTGTAAATACCATTATATGTATGGGAATAATGAACAAACGAAAAGCAAACAACAAATTGTCTCTGTATATATAAATAGTATATGATGTGGGAAGGGTAACTGATGCTAAATGGACTTAAATCTTTGCGGAATGAAATACAAGGAGAAAAAACTTGGAAGTGTGTTGACTTTTATTTGTAGTTCCCAGAAACTCCTAAGATTAATAAACATATCCCTCCGAATTCAGAGAAAAACAGAAAAAACTTTCCGTTTTCATTCCCTCAATTCGAACTTAGCTCCGCGTTGGACCCGTCGCGAGGAGCTTTTCCCTGGTATGGGAAGGCTACAGACGAATGTTCATGCTTGAAGTTGAATCATCTCGGCCAGGGCTTCCCGGGATCTTCTTTTGGCGAGAATCCTCCTCGCGACTCGCCGGGGGCTCGGACGATATCCATGATGATGATCTCGTAGGTGAGGCAACGATCCTTGAGAAATTCAGTCGGCGCTGAATCGAACTTAGACAGCAAATTCAGACAGCCCTGGAGGTACCTGACTGCGCTTCTCGACTCGACTTCGGCCCCTGCGATAATTGAAGACGTCCCATGAGCCCACAAGCAGAACCGGTGAAGTTCTCGATTTATTTTTCAGCGTCCTCCATGTCCTGCCTTAAATCGTCGATTGTGATAATTATCAAACATACGTGCGAAACTTAGCTGAAATCCAGGGTGAACGTGCACATCAGCAGTGCAATGAAAAATAGGATCATAACGAGGCCAACGACGAGCGCTACCTCCATTGCGCCCAGAGAATCTATGAGTTTATAAGTCAATACGCATTGATTTCTGTGAACACAGCCCTTCACCGAAGAAGGTGAACACATTTGCGGCGATAGAGCTAGGAACTTTTTATGTCGGTGATCTGGGAGTAGATTCTCGATTGTACAGTTGTAGATCGTGTTGGAACAGGTGACTCTCTCTGTCGGATGTAAACAGGTATCGGCGTCCGTCCCCGAGCAGAATAGGAGACCAGCCCGCAAACGCTTGCAGTCACGTAGGTAAGCTCCTACATCCCAAACTCTCACTTGGGAGCCGGGGCATGGCTGTTCTACGGCGTGCGCCGAAGCCGCGACGAGGACTGAAGTCGAGAGCCAAGTTCCGAGCCGCAGCAACATCGTTCTTTCGGGGCGATGCTTCCCGGATTTTTCGTATGTCAGACTCTAGTTTCCAACAGCAGTACGATGTGCGCGCAGAGCTTTCGATTTTCGGCCGTCTAGCTGTACCTTGTGACGGACCTCCTATCCGGGCGTTCCACCACAGGATCCGGCGGTGGGGACGAGGGGACGGAATTGTCCTGGTTGAGAAAACATCGTCCTTGCGTCACTCTAGCGATATTCAGACCCAGAGAGATCAACCGACGAGCCGAAACGACCAGGGAGGCAACGGAGTTGGATCGTCCCCGAATCAACTTCCTTCCCCAACAAAAACCTCCGGCCTCCCCATGTTTGTCAGATTCCGGAGGTACAGACTGCCCGCGGGGAACTGGCTATCTGGGATTCATCTCGCGCGAGCAAGATAAAACCACTTCATTGCCCGAGCTAGCGACCTTTCCCCTCTCCCGGAGCATTGACTCAATCGAATGTACTTTGTCTCGTGGTTTGTTGGAGACATGTGGTTTCTAGTCGAAGCAGCCCCCATGAATTCCACACTATTCGCTCGACTTCATCGCCTCAGGATGGTATTACCCGGAGCCCCTCGATCTGTCTCCGCATCAGGAATGCAACTTGTATAACAGTACGAAGACGATGACCGCCGTCAGGCCGAGCATGATTTTTCTGTTGCGTCTTTCTCGTAGGCTCTCCAAGCGATACGTAGATAAGCATCCGCCTTCGTACACGCATCCTCTCTTGCCTGACGGCCAACAGAAACGCGGGCTCACTATTTTCAGGATGGCGTCATCACTATATGATATATAAGGAAGCCTCAATCTACGAACGGACGCAGGAAAAAATCCAGAATCCGAGCCAGAAGAGAGGAAAGATTCAGAATGTTCGACGGGATAGGGTCGGGGATCTGGACCCGCGGAAGGTGTTGGGGAGGATTCGGAGTACGCGAGAGATCGGGATCGGGGAGAGGAGATTGGATCTCTGGAAGATTCGGGAGTTAAGCCGGAGCTCATCTAAGCATCTAGAAATAAATGTACGTATTTCTGTCATGGTCGCATACACTCTCATCCGCCGCGTACGATAGGTCTGATTCGCTGGCTTAAAGGGCGCGTCGTATCGGAAAGGGACATTAGCACATCAGGTTAGAAAAATTGTCATTATTTCCTGTTTTTCGATAATATTAGCCTGACATCTCTGACGATAAGGATGTCCAGTGTCTTCGACGATGACGATCTTATACGGATATGCGATAACAATGCGACATGCCCAATCGAGACTATTCAGTCTCCGACGATAAGGAAATTGAGTTTTTTGTCGTCGTTTGCGAGAGGCGATGCCTCCGGAACGAAGCTCACTCGGATAATTGAGAGTCGCTCGTTCCGTGTAAAGTGATCCACTTGCTCAGTTCTGGTCACCCGAGGCAGTGGAGCTAACCGGATCCTCCGGCTCCAACCATGCGACGGTCCTATAGTTCCGGCGGCCTACTCCGAGATTTTTTTCCCGTGATCCCTCCTCCCGGCCCCCGTGATAGACCCCAAGGGTCTG